TATGTAATTGTCTTATGCAGACTATTTAAAGAATATTTCAAAGAACAAGGTGTATATTGTAGAAATCTCACCTAGAGAAATTAAGGATTATATTGATATTATTGATAGTGCATTGATATTATTGATCGTATTAATTAATATTGATAGTAGTAATATGACGATCAATATTTGTTGTATTAATATGTTGATCAATATTGCTATATTGATAAATAATAATGTTAAGTACATTTTCTCTAGGAGAAAATTATAGAGTCCTAAGTTAACTATACTTAGAAACTTATTATAATATCAATTACTACTATAATAATAATAATGTAATTATAAATAATCTAAATTTTAATTATATTATAATTCTAATAGTAATCTAATCCTAGTCGTAATATAATTCTAATCATAATTTAATTCTAGTCAAAATATAATCATAATTAACATAGGTAGTCCAATCCTAATGCAACTATAATTCTTGTAACTCATCAATCAGTTTTGTCAGACTTGTTCCTTCGACATGTTTCAGTCCTCACCTTCCTTCTTCGTCAACACTTGCTTCGACATGTTCCAATCCTCAACAACCTTCTTCATCAACACTTGTTATAGATAAGTCAGTCAACTGCATTGGACCTGTTTCTTTGACATGTTCTAATCATCTGTTTCCTTCTTCTTCGACACTTTCTCTCAAGCTAGTGAGTAGAGAAACGGTTACTCCTAGCTTGCTTTGAATATCCAGCAAATTTTTTTGAATACCCAGCAAAAACTTGTCTTGTCAATGCTTCGGTATGTTGATGTTGTTGTTTCCGAATATCCAGAAAAAAAAACTTTGAATACCCAGAAAAAACTTGTTTTGTCAATGCTTTCGTAAGTTGATGTTGTTGTTTCCTTTTCCCCTGCTTTTTTAGCAAATAATACCATGTTATAGTTTTGTTATGACACTTTTTTTCTTTCTCTACCCTTATATAAAGTCTGTGAGAGTATTAACAAATTGATTAATGGTGAGATATGGTGTCTTACCTAAACCTCTAACAAAATTAATTGTTTTTGTTACTTGAATTTATGTTTTTTTTTCTTTTAAGATTTTCCACATCTCCTTAGCGGTTGAGCAGCCCACAATGTTGTGTACTTTCTTCGGTCAAATGCTTGAGATCCAACTCTTTAGTAACACATCTTTCTCCTTCCAATCATCAATGGTGCCACTATTGCATCCTTCTAAGCCGCTACAACTTTCCTGACAGTCTATCCAGTGAAACAACTACTTTTACTTGGTTCATTCCAAGTGATATGAACCAATTGGGATATATATTCCTCTTTATGAGGTAGTTTGTTGGATTAAGTTTAATGAAGCAAGTGAAAATTATTTGATGACGTAAGGAGATAGACATGGTTTTTGGTAAAAGTGGTCATAGCAACATGTGGGGGGTTTTTTTTTTGGGGGGGGGGGGGGAGGGGGTTCGTCTTTTTTTTTTTAATCAATACTCAAAGAGCGGAAGAACTTTAAGCTCTGATATCATATAGAAATCCATGTAGAAATCTCACATAGAGAAATCAAGGATTGTATTGATAGTATTGATAGTGCATTGATATTATTGATAGTATTGATCAACATTGATAGTATTGATATGTTAGTCAATATTTATTGTGTTGATATGTTGATTAATATTGCTATATTGGTAAATAATAACGTTAAATACTTACTCCTTATATAGGATAGAATTGTAGAGTTCTTAGTTAATTATACTCAGAGTCCTACTACAATATTTATTACTGCTATAATAATAATAATGTAATTATAAATAATCTAAATTCTAATTATACGATAATTCTAATTGTAAACTAATTTCGTAATATAATTCTAATCATAATTTAATTCTAGTCGAAATATAATCCTATTTAACATAGGTAGTCTAATCTTAATGCGACTATAATCCTTCAGTAGTGTTGTAAGATTGCCAATCCTCAGCTTCCTTCTTCATCAACACTTGTTGTAGATAAGTCAGTCAACTGTGTTGGACATGTTCCAATCGTCAAGTTCTTTCTTTTTCAACATATATAAAAGAATAAACTTGATGGGCCAACTGACGGTTGCACATTTATACTATAGTCATTAATGAAAAATAAAGTTAAAGAAAATTAGGAATTTTGTCATTAGAACTTGGCTTAAAATTTGGTATAACCTACGTTTTTTTTTTTATGTTTTTATTTGTTAGAGTTTTTTTTTATGGCAATATAACGTGGCAAGAAATAAATAAATAAATGAAGTTAAAATAAAGAGGTTTCACGTTTATTTTAAAATATTTTCTTTGCCTTTATTTGTAAAATTATTATCATTTAGATAGGTTTAACCAATCAAATTTTTGTAATGATTGCTACTTTTTAATTATTATTTTCTTTTTGTATATAGTTTATTGATTGATGTAAGTATTGAAATTAGTTGGTTGTTAGCTAGTGATAGTTGGCTAACAAAGTTTAGTTAGAAATAATCAGATTCTTCTGTTAGTGGCGGATTCAAGTGTTAGGCTTAAAGGAATTCGAAATCTAAAGAAAAAGTTTATATGATAATATAAGTATGCTGGGTGAGCATATTAATTTTGAAATGCTTTTTGTACAACTTATTTCTTTAATTGATGAAAATTAACACCAAATTAATTTAAAATATTGAGAACAAAGCTACATTGATTAAGAAAATAATAGTGAATCAGTTGTATTACATGTGTAATTTCTAACATGAAAATTAAAGGAAGAAAAAGAAAGTGAGATTGAAAAGAAAATATTTACCTTTAACCCGCTAAATTTATATTACCTTATCTTAAGCATTTCTCCTACTTTTACCTTGGTCCATTGAGCATCCTTAAATATCTTGTACCTTTTATATTTTTATTTTATAATATTTTACTTTACATTTGCATTTTTAAAAAAATTTCATATTAGTATCTATTCAAACACTTATTACTAGGAAGATTATCAACATTCTCAAATAGTGTGTAAGTATAGATTTACTAATATTATAATGCATATTCAAAAGATAAATAAATGATATAGTCATTTTTTAGTTCACCTAGTTTAATTTACTAGGTTATCATCACTTGTTGAAAAAAAATGACGAATAAATCAAATAAGTTTAGTTTTCATCTCGAATTGAAAAAATAGAAAAAAAAATCTATGAATTCTATTAAATATATATTAATATAAGGATATTGACGATTTTTAGTTTCTTCATTTAATTACGTCAAATTTATCTTTATATATATAATTCATCATTTTTAAAGAGTTGTACATAAAATTATGTTGAAATGAAATGACTAATAGATATAAGAAGAATATAAAAAAAATATGTCTAATAAATTTAAACAAAAAAATTAGGGAAAAAATGACACAAAAGAAAAAAAATAATGAAAAAGAGAAGATGATCCAAGCCCAAAAGTTGAGCGGAATTACATGCATTAAAGGGTAAAAATTAAGAGAAGTGGAATTTCCTCTTATCATTGAGTTACAGAAGCAGTTATGTCATTAGTGTAGCTTAAATCACAAAATCAATAGCAAGACACACGTGTAATTTGTAAATTCTAGGGATTTGTGTTACATTATCACTTGTGTGAATAGGATATTGTGTATTTTTTTTATTTAGTGGATTGTTTATATTCACTTGTGAAATATATATTGATTGATCGAACCACGTTAAATATTTATTTTTCTTTTAATATATTTCTTATTTATTTTCTTACTTATGATCTTTCAAATATTTTTTACGACTAACAATTTATTTATTTATTAAAATGATTGAAAGAAGACCTGGATTTTTTTAAAAAAAATAATGATAATCGAGTATTCAACCAGGAATCTTTTTTGAAAAAAATCAAAAAAAAATTAGAATTGTGAATTTATAGCCATCACACGAACATCTCCTCTTGGCTCCCTTCGTAAGAAAAAAATCCTCTTTCTTGCTTTTGAGATTTGTTTGGTTAATATTTTGGAAAAATAATATAATTAGTGCACGACTTTAATATATCATAAATTTTAGAATTTTCTAATATGTAAATAAAATTATAAATATTTTCTCTCGGATACATCTCTATCCCCATTCGAATACATTTATATTCTTTCTTTGATACATTTCTATTCTCTTTTAGATATATCCCTCCTACAACCAAAAAATGCATCCGGAAGTAATGAAAATTCAAAACTTTTGTAATTATAATAATTTCTAAGATAGAATATAATTAGCCTCAAATATATGATATTTTTGTTTCCCTAAAATTCTACTATGCTTCTCTGTGGGTTAGTCAATCACGTACACTAATATATATGTCTCGATCAACAACGGAGAGAATCAATGGCCCAACGATAAAGTTTGCAATGCATTCAAGATTTACCAAGCCATTGATCATATGTCATATGTGAAAACAGAAAAAAAAAATATTTTCAAAGTGAAAAAAATTATATTTGAAAATTGATTTTATATTTGACTGTGAAATAAATTAAATTTATTTTGAAATTTTACGAAAACACAAATTATGATATATATAATATTAGGCTCCCTATAATTTGTTAGGTTTGAGGAATAAAATATCAAAATCGGTCTTTATAAGGTTCATTCATGAACTTAACGTCTTAACCCCAACTAACCTATTACAATCTTTTGGAGCCCAATCAAAAAAGTTCAGTAGAACATATGTAAAAAAGTCGGTGTCTTTATACAAATAATCAAACAAATTTATTATTTACTTTGTGAAATAGATATACAAAAATTATACACTAATTATATATAATTATATGTAAATTATGGATATGTATTTTTTATTGATGCGATTGAGTGAGTGATTTGGGACACCAGTTAAAACCATTTGAAACAAGTACAAGTAGTACAAAACTTAAAAGAAACAAATCTTATCAAAATCATTAAAATTATTATGTATAGTAACTTACTTTAGGATATGTTTGTGGTATTCGAAAAACTGGTGATATATAAAGTTTAGAAGGGTTTGCAACTCTGTCCAAAATAAATTTTACATAAAACAAAAGTGGAAAATAATCTTTACTCTTTTGCATGTCAATTTCGCTCATCGAGGGTAAATTTAATCAACTTTTAGAAATTAACACAGGTACTTTGATTCAATTTTAAAACTTTAAAATTTAGAAAATCATAAACTGAAATTTGAAAATAAATATATTCTATTTGATTTAATTCCCAAGATTGAATTTCATTTGATACTTGATGATTGAAAAAATAGCAAAAGATATTCAAATAGAGAAGCACTTCTCAACGATATAGTAAATAAACATAGTTTAGAAACTACTTTTTTGTTATCACGTCTCTACAATTTTTCATACAAATTCGGAGATTTTCATGCACATGAATATAAGTTGCACCAAAAATAAGTGCATATATTTTGATACGTTTGCTAATTTGTCTATCAGTTTCAATTCATAACACACAAATATACCCAAAAGAAAACTTGTTATTGATAATTCTTGTTAAAGAAACTTCCAATGTGCATATCAGACGTAAAAATTTGCTGATCTCTGAACTTCAACTCCATCAAATGAATTATTATTAGCAGGAGAAGAAGCCCCGTGACCTTCTCCAAACGACGCGATATGATCCTTCAAAGATCTCTTGTGTTTAAAATCGGAACCACAAACACATAGCCAACGTTTTCCACAATTTTTTTCGTGTGTTCTCCAGTCTCCTTTCACAGCTAAACACTTGCCACATTTTCTACACGCGAATCGCTTTGTTCCATGCTTCCTCTTGTAATGTGTTTGTAGGGTTCTAAAATCCTTCAATGGCTTAGCCCTAGAATGATTTATGTTGTTTTTGCACCCTTCTTCACAACAATAGCATGGGATCCCTAACATGGCTCTTGGTTGTGTTCCTTTAAGTGATTCTGGTCCTTTTCTATATTGTGATCCATGACCCCACATGTGCATCTGTTGAATAATTGAAAAAATATACGTTGAAATCATGTTGTTATTGTGTTTTTTTTTTTTAAATCTTGTTAGACTATGCTAGCACGCACCTGATAATATTTTCCAATACAGCAAAAGAAAAAAGAATATAGTAATGAAAAATAATTCACCTGAAGATTGTTGTAACGATTGAAAGTTTTGTGACAAATGTGACAAGAAAAATGGGTGAAGCCAACAAGGATTTGTGAAGGAGTTGGTATCCAATATTGAGTGGTTGCTCCAATAATATTTCCATCACTTTTGTTGTGATCAATTGGAATATTATTATTATTATTGCTAGAATTTGGAAGACCAATGTGTAACGCAACAGTCACATCATCTTCAATATTGTTCCAATTAGGGTTTTCTTCATAATTTGACATTTTCTCAATATTTTGATTAGATGGTTGAGACAAACTAAGAAATTCAAATGCATTTTGGGTTTTATCTGCAAAAAAATCAAATGGTTCAATTTGATTTTCAATAGACCTAGAAGACGAAGCAAAATATGAGTGTTCCATTTTTTATTTTTTTATTTTTATTTTTGAGTGAAAGAATGAAGTAACCTATGATATTCAAGGTGTTTTTATAGGCCTAGGAAGAATGTTTGTCTTTAAGGTTGAATTTAAAAGTTAATCTTTTAGAGGGAAAAATTGTGAGAAAAAAGACACTGGAGAAAATGGGGTATGTTGTTGGTCGTTGAATGTAAATAACATTAATTAGTAATTTGTTTTAAGGGAAAAGATAGTTAATCTTAGCTGCTTGTCAAATTTATCTCCTTTTGGTATACAATGTAATAAGACTTAATTGTGGTGGACCATGGCTTCTATAATTTACATGAGGTTTACTGCAGTGGTATTTAGATTTATGGCAACATCTTAATCACAAATATTATTTAATTTTAATGTTTATTTAGTTATATAAATTCTGACGATAAAAAAAGTTAGATCACCCATCAATTAGGTCAGGCAAAAAATAAATTATTACTTATATATAAGCCTCACGTGTTGGAAATGGTTGTATAATAACCTTGGGAAGCGACTAATAACAATGATTTGAACCCATAACTAATAATTTCTAGCTCCGCTTTTTGAACATGATAGTAAAATATAAATATATTTTTACGCACTAACAATGTATATAATTTAATTTTTTTTTCTTTTTTAATCATACTTTCTTCAATAATTCAACGGCTTTCTTGATGTAGGTTTACAGGTGGTAGATAATCGTTTATTTAACTCCAAATTGCTAATTAAGGACCGATAATCCCTAAAAAGGTGTCTCTCTTAATAATGCATGTGTTAATCCTCATTTTTATTAGTTGTTTTCTTAATAACGTTGAAAAGAAAAGTCGGTTTTGGGATAGGCGTGTGTTAGGGAGGCAACCATAAATTTTGTAGTATTTACTTTCTCAGTCTCATATTAGTTGATCATCTTATTAAAATAATTGTTTCATATTAATTGTCCCCCTTATAAAATCAAGAAAACATTAGTTAAATTTTCCTGTATTATCCTTACAAATAATTACTTTTGAAAGTGTTCACATTTGTTTATATAATTTCCAAAAAAAAAATTGTTTAAGGGATAAATTAGTAAAATTATTCTCTTATGTATGATTTTTTAATAAAATGAGAAACGATCAATAAATATGAAACAGACAGTGTTTTAAGAGTAATTTAATACACGAACCAACTACTTTTTGGCGTGGATTGAAGAGAATTTGGCCCCAAAAATAAAGAAAAAACTGAATTTTACAAAAATGGAGATAGTGAGTAAGAAAAGATTTGAGAAATGCAGATATCACAAATAGGAGGCATTAATTAATTAGTAATAGAAGGATTAATTAATTTTGTAACAAACTTACATAGGTCAACCATGAAATAACTACGTGTTTAGTTAATTATAGTAACTTAGGTCCATCAGTGACACCCCCTTAGCTACATATTGACCTGAACTACTTAGTTTTTGGTTGTAAGTTTCAATATTTACTGAGCTATTGACTTACAAGAAGTAAAAGGAAAAAAAAGTCTTTAATATATTGAAAATCTTAATTAGGGGTACGGTGTATTAATTTTCAAGAGAAATTATCACTTTTAATATCCCTAGTAAGCAATGACGAAATTAAGATTTAGTAAGTAATGACGGAGTTAAGCATTTAATACAAATCTAGCATGATAATAATAATTTTTCATTTGTTTTTATTAAAAAGTCAAATACATAAGCAGATCTCTAAACTTGTTGGGTTTTTTCACTCAGGTACCTCAACTACGTCATTTTCCCATTGAATCATTGTACCCCATAATTTGTTCCGTTTAAACAAACACCGTTGTCTGATGTGGAACCGGATTTGTGAGGGGTATTGATAGAGGATACATATGTTGTTTCAAAAATCATTAGTCCAATTGATAGTGAACATGTTTGAGAATAATTGTATTTTACTTAAGTCATTTAAACATATTAGAAAACAAATGAGACTAACACGGTTTGTCTTCATTACTTCATTCAAATTATTACAATTCGAACACGCACTTGTTCCATATGCTTCAGCAGTTGGTAGTTTGATGTATGTTATGGTCTGCACTAGACCTGATATAGCACATGCAGTGGGAGTTGTTACCAGGTACATGGCGAACCCTGGGAAAGCGCATTGAGAAGCTGTGAAGTGGCTTCTGAGATATCTGAGAGATACATCCAGTACTTCACTTTGTTTTGGCAAAGGCAAGGTGACTCTACAGGGTTTTGTGGATGCTGATCTTGGTGGGGATGTTGACTCGAGCAAGAGCACATCCGGGTACATTTACACCATAGATGGAACAACAGTGAGTTGGATGTCCAGGCTTCAGAAGTGTGTTTCTCTTTCATCTACTGAAGCTGAGTATGTGGCAATAGCTGAAGTTGGGAAAGAGATGATATGGGTGGCAGATTATCTTGAGAAATTGGGCAAGAAGCAGAGCGAGAAGATTCTTTACTCAAATAGCCAGAGTGTCATACAGTTGGTGAAAAATCCAGTCTATCATTCGAAGACAAAGTACATCAGAAGGCGATACCATTTTACTCGCAGGGCAGTGGAGGATGGTGATATGTGCTTGGAGAAGATAGAGGGTGCAAAGAACCCGGCAGACATGTTGACGAAATGTGTTGATGTTGGGAAACTGAAGTTATGTAAAACCTCGGTTGGCCTTCTGTAGTTGTTGCTACAGATGTTACGGTGCGGTAAAGATGTTGATGATGAAGAGATTTTTTTTGAGATTGTATTTTTTGGATGACTGAGTCAGTCTCCAAGTGGGAGAATTGTTAGGTAGTAGAGTCTGATTAATTTTAGGTTTTCCTAATTATTCTCTATTTTAAGCTTTCCTATTTATTCTCTGTAACAAAAAATACTCTGATTTATTAAAATAAATATACCTCATCACCGTGGAAGTTTACTCACGGGGTGTTACCACGAAATATTGGGTTTTCTCTTTCTCTCTCTAGATCTCCCATCTCTTTCTCTTGAAAGTTCTTGTGTTCTTCATTTATCTAGTGTGTGTGCGTGAATTCGATCCTAACATTAACTTGGTAAATTAAACAAGGAAATAAGTAAATGATCATGCCTACTACACATTGGAATGAGGAAACATAAAATAAAGAAAATATATAATAGAACAAATAAAATAAAATAAAATAAAGGGGGTAAATATGTCATAAATTCGTTATTGAGAGCTTAATATATCCGTCCTACTGTTGGTACAGTAATAAAAAGGATCGATCCATGTTTAGTAAAAATGAAAAATAAATAAATGAACAACAATTGAAATGTTTAAAATTGAAAATTAAAGAAATAAATAAAAGATGAATTGGCCATGAAATAATAATATCTCTGAAGTAGTCCGTCCAATCAGCTATTTCTTCTTCTTGTTGTTTGAAATCAATTTTGCCTCATGGAATGCATGGACCAAATTAAGAAAAATTAATGGATAGACTTTTTTTGAAAATAGAGTAAAGTCTCGTTAATTCTTTTTTTTTTCCTTTTTCTTGTTAAAGATTGTACAGTTCTTTTTTTCTTTTTTTAATTTTATTTTCACCATGCTGATGAGCTGCTTGTACTCTCTTTTTTTATGTATTTGGACTCTCAGTAGTCACTGCCCCAACTTCTGTTGTGTCTTCTGAGGTTTGCTGTGGATTTTGAGATTCTGCCATTTACAATTCATACATAAAAATATCAGAGATTATTCATATCACAAGTGAAATTTTATGATAAAATTATTGTATTTCATTTCATGTGACAATATTTTTTGTATTAATACATTTTGAAAAGAATATTGCTAGTATTTTTCTTAATTTTTGAAACTTCTTTTTTACACTAATGAGTATTTTCACTGTCTTACTATAGTAGTTCACTATTGACTTAATAGTTGACACATCCTTTCATAAATAAGAAATAATAGAGGTAAAATTACTATATTATCTATTAAATTTTATTAAATTTAACGCTTTAAGAAAAATGTGTTAGATGATATATAATATTTAATAGCAAAAGATAGATTATCTTTTGATTTTTTTAAATTAGATAAATATTATTGGATAATTATTTTAACACAGTGAACAATTATTATTGAAGGGAGGAGTCTGTTTCTATAGCCATACAAAAATTAGAGCTTATTTAATCCCACACATATTTCTTTCTTTCCTAAATGTAGTGTCCCATCAAATACCGCTAAAAATTTAAAACAGATGGAATAATTGATAGGCAGAATAGTAACTAACCTGTTATGATCAATTATGATTTTGTAATTTTGTGTATAAACAAAATAGTTTTATGTCATTTTCACTAGAATTCTTCGTTTAGCTATACGTAAAAATACTAAGAAAATATCATTTCTAGTTGTTATTAGCTACACATTATATTTATGAGTATTATTTAGTGTATAAAAGAAGTTGATGCTGTAATTTACCACACAGTAAAGTTGTTTTTGTATTAATTTCATCAATTAATAGCTACAGCTGGAAAATGCAGGAAAAAAGAATACTACCAAATAGGAAAATAAATTTAAAATCACAATCTATGGAGTATCATTTATTTCACCAATCTATTTGTAGTATGTAATAAAATATTTATTTTTCATTTCTTCAATTAGGACTCTTATATACTTGCAGCAAAACATATATATATATATATATATATGATTTTTGAATTTTAACTTATGTTTTACTCTCTTGGTCCAAATTTAATTTAAACACACTATCAAAAAACAATAAATAAAACAATATTTTTATTATATCAACTTTACCTATTTACTTAACAAGAATAAAATATGTATAAATTAATAAATTATCTCACAATTTCATACACTGATTTTAATTATACTGAATAGGTAAAAAAATTAGATCTTAAAAATATCTCAATTATCCAAATTTCTTTTAACTGCTAAACATAATTGTCAATGGGTGCACCTGGTAATGTCCGTGGAACATGTTACGTATTGATAATTCTTGTGACATATTAATTGGAGTCTACTACCTAATTGTTACAACCTTTTAGCTCATATATGTTCATCACTATAGTATTATTCGGCTATTAAGAGTCCGTTTAGATTGATTAAAAAAAATTAATTTTTAAGATAAACATAAATAACTCTTAAGTTAAAAAATTAAAAAAAAAAAGAACCTATTTTTAGTTTTAAGTTATTTTTAACTTTGTTAAACATATTCTTAAAAACTGACATGAATGTACGTTTAATTAATTTTTAAGTCAATTCAAACACCATCTAAGATTTCTAAAACATATATTAATCTTCCCAGAACATGTACAAGTTTTTCTCTCCTTAATAGAAGTCAGTTTGACCAAACTTGTAAAAAAATAACTTATTTTTAAGAGTATTTTTTGTGAGAAATAATTTGTTTAGCATAATAAATTTAAATTGTTCGATGGAATTGTTTAAAAGTAATTCTAAATATATTTTTCTAATATTTTTTTTGAAAAAAAAAAACAATCAGGTAAAAGTTTAACTTTTAAAAATAACTTCATTACTACACTTCAAAAACACATTATTTTTTTCTCAAAAACATAACTAAACACTTCGCTTATTTTTTTATCTTCTGAAAAGAAAAAAAAACTTTCGCTACGCTTCAAAAAACACATATTTTTTCTCAAAAGCTTGACTAGACATTTTCTTTTAAAAAATAATACTTTTAACCTTTCAAAAGCTTGCTCAAATAAATTATTAATAGCCAAAAAAAATGCAAAAACCTTTCCAAATTAAAAAATCAATCCTGACAACTATATTATTAAAGAGTGGTCAGAATTGATTCTTCTAAGTGAGGACATACACTAAAAGAACAGGAGGGTGACTAGTTACATGATGTACCTAAAATAGCATAATGTTTTAAAGTTTACATTATAATGGGGGGTATTCATATGCATTATATTCAGCCACTTGCATGATTCACTGCCTATTGAGAACCATCCATTATATATATATATATATATATATAGTCCTAGATAATTATATGACCATTCACATGCATTTACTGTTATTTTACACTCATCAGAAGAAAATACACACACATGCCTCCCTGGCATATGATTTTCATTTGACCCATTGATACATCACTACCTTGCCCAAGACAGCTCATATGTCACATGCTTAGGCTCCCCCACATGCCCCTCTCTATCTTTACCTTTACACATTTTATAATGTTTACAACTATAACTTACTGTAACAATTGTTATACATTATCAAAAGTATAATCACTTTGCATCTTTTCATTATTAGTAATATATAATAATAATTGTAAAACATATTTCTTCTCCAAATTTGCATCTAATATTATAATTTCACCCTTGATTGTGAGAACTTACTATGTAGTTTTCACAATCAAGTTACACACAATATATTATTCCTGATATTTTCTTAAGTAGTTTAACTCCTATATACACCTTGCTGAAGAGAAATTCTATTTTATCGCGTCACTCAAAAGATAATTACACATAACCATTTATACTAAAGTTAAGTGGATTAATTAGTAACCTAGATATAGGTTAAGTTATGTGCTATAACATGTAACTACTTAGTAGTTTGAAATTATTATTATTATTACTACGTACTAGTTAAGTTGAACCACATGAGGAACAATGAATTAGCTAGTACATAGCTAATAGAGTTCAAGTAGAAATGATAATCTTAAGCAGAAAATTAGTGAAAAGTATATATATATATATATTGAGAAAGTAGAGTAGTTACCAGTAGTAGGAGAAGGAAACTGAAGCCTTGTAGTTGCAGCATGAGGAGGGTGTTGGAGTAGAGGTGGAGGCGGGGGAGTAAAAGAGGCAGCATCAGCTGGCAAGTGATGAGCAGTAGTAGTAGGATAATAAAGATAAGAAGCAGTTGGGCTTTGAAAGCGTTGAGTAGCTGCAGAAAATGTTCCCCTTGATCCCTGCATCGAATATCCGTAATAATATGCTGGAGATGGTGATGATGAACTTCCATACATTTGCTGATAATAATGTGCTGCTGCTGCTGCTTGCTGGTACGTCCCTGGATTGTACATCCCCGCAGCCTGTTCATCAAATTCAATTTCCATCTATTCTCATTTCCACGTGAAAAAAAAAAAGACAAGAGACTCATCAATACTATATTGGATAGACTTACTTGATGGTAATAATCAGGAGGGTACGTTGCATACCTGCAAAATATAATTTAAAACAAATCATAATTATATATGTATAGTTACAGATGATTGTGAGTTTGAGTCACCAAAAAAAAAGTAGTCCGTTTATAATACAACTCTTTAAGGTGCATATTATGTGAAGATGAATGAACCATGAACCATAGTATACGTACATACATAAAATTACATAAATATGTTTAAGATCTATATATTATATATATAGTACAATGAAACTTGAAAAGTAGCTTTCACGTAATAAGTAGTCTATAAAACGGTACGTACTCTCAACATGTTACAAGTTAAGTGAGACAAAATAATAAATGGAGCGACAAGCACCTCTCTGTACCAAACGTTGGATTAAATTACGATACATAAATGCAACACCCCATACTGTATAATTTGACATATTTTAGCATTCGTATTTTATAGTAATGATTTAGAAATAATATACTTATAAGGTAATGGCGGAGACAGAAATTCAAACTAAGATAAATAAAAAGTTAAGTCACGGTGACGATAAAAAGCAAGGTATTATTATTTGGAATGGGTTATTGAAAGAGTGCAGTGTACATTGTCAGATATCATATAGTAAGTGGTATAATATTGCTAGTTACTTTGTTCCACTCGTGCTACCTATAACATTCACGCCTTTGATCAAAGTACAAGCAAAATTGACCTAAAGGCACAAGGTTTGTTCAGCCTTTTTTTGTGTCACATAAAAAAGAGAAAAAGAGAGAGGAGAGAGATTTATCAAAAGTAAACAAAAACAAGTTCGTTGTGGGCATGTAAAGATGGTCGGATCACTCAATTAAATATATGCTCTTTCCAATAGCCTTTTACATCGGTGGTGGTGTCTGATATTTAAATTGAAGTCTGATTAAATTTAAACTTGTGACGGACACTATTAATTAAGTTATTTTTTCATTCTTAAAAATTTTAGTTTGATACTTTTAATTATATATGAAGCATTCTAATCACCATAATTCATGTTGATTGGTAATGGAACCCAAAAAAAAGAAAAGGACTAAGTAGTTAAGTATTAACAATGAATACTTTGCCAGCAAAAAGTGACAAAAAAATATTGCAAGAAAATGTTGAAATAGTAGTAGAGGAAAAGGTATCGAACTATACTAAAATAAGAAGAAAAAATATATATTTGGTTAGATTATTTCTGCAAGTCAAAAAGCAAGCAGATATAAAGTCAAAGTAGCTATGGTCAAGCCTAATTTCCATCTCTAATTTTTCCAAAAAAGAAAAAAGTAAGCTAATTGGAGTTACCTTATAAATTCGAAAACCCTCTTTTTCAATCAATCATAATAGTGGTGATTTTCAAACTACATAAAACTTTACAAATTAAAATTTTATATAAACATTGAAATATATGATCATATTATTTTAAAAATTAGACTGGCAAAAATCCAACACATAAAAGAAAAGCATTGCACGTTGTCTGCAACTGACAACTCATTGCATAGCAGTCACCATTTATCAATTTTTATTTATTATTATTGATCTGCCTATACCAACCTGCATTCAATTAAATTACTTCATGATATATAATGTATGTATACTATTTCTTTCCATTTGTATGATTATAAAAAAAATTAAGACATACGACGACGACAACAACATCAATGTGAGGTTTTCAGTTGTTATACCACTGGCAAATGCCTGCCCATTTTTATCACACATCTTTTTCTTTCTGCAGTATATTATCAGATCATGGACCATCATATATTTATTTATTTTCTCATTTAATTTACTATTAATTGCCTAAAAAAACAAATTAATTATACTTACCCATATGGTGAATATATCATAGGAGTTGCAGGTGGTGGATGTAATGGTAATGGTGCTGCTGCTCCTCCTGCCACCCCACTGTAAGATGATGATGATGCCCCTTGTGGAATTCCCCCTCCTTGATAAGGATTCCCTCCTTGTCCCCTACCTATAATAATAATAATAACAACAATATGTAATTAACTTAATTACTCTCTCCATTTTCTTTTTAGAAATTAAAAAGGTCAAAAAATTAATATTGATTCAATCAATAAGGTTGTTTATATCTTCTCTGTTTCAATTCACGTGACATGATTATAATTGTTGTTATTATATATATACAATGTGGTGGGATAATCGAGGATTGAAGTTTGACTAGTCAAATTAAACAATCAAACAGACAGAAAAGAAGAGTACCTCGAGGTGGTGAAGGACGAGGCCGTCCAAGAGAAGCGATGTTACAGTTAGCTCTTCTTCCATCAATTACCGGATTCGGGTTATCACAAGCCCGTCTTGCAGATTCCGGATCACGATAAGTTACCTGCCGTATCACAAATTCATCACACCAAATTATAAATGATTGATTGATTAAAAAAAAAAAAAACAAGCAACATGTAAATATAACTTACAAAGCCATATCCTTTAGATTTGCCAGTGTTTTTATCTGTGATAATGACAGCTTCAAGAATCTCTCCGAATTGCTCGAAATACCGGCGCATTACATCTGTTGGAGTTTCCCATGCTAATCCACCAACAAAAACTTTGGTGTAAGTTGTGTCCCCAAATGGTGATCGATAATGTTGATACGCCATTAATGCATCTAAAAAACTTCCAATGAAAACTAGACTTGTTATTCAAGCAATTAGAAGATCGATAATACGGAATGGATATACAATGGCATATCTTGTTTGTACTTCTTCTTCGCCTGTAATTGTCTTCCTATTTTTTTTTCTCTTCTTCTCTCCCTTTCTCTCAGTCTTGTAGCTAGCAGAAAAAGATCATGGAGAGAGAAAAAGGGTGGGAAGGAACAGATATAACTTAGTGGGAAATGTTTATAAATTATTGCTGATGTTTAACAAATAAAATGTTTTGGAAGAGAGAGGGATTCGACAGCTGCAAAACTCTTAAGGCAGATAGGGTGTTGGGCCCATAAAACCAAATTGGGGATATATTCTTTTCGATCGAACTCAGTAATTTTTGCTTAAATAATATATTTATATTTGAAAATTTACCAAATGATCATACAAATATTAATACTCGAATTCTTTTTTAAAATTCTGAGTTCACCACTATAATAATATTACAAGTATTGAATTCAGATAAATCGATGTTGTGAGCAATAGCGGAGCTATCTCGTATGGTTCAGCGGAAAATTATATTATTCATACATAATTAAAATAAATTTATACGTATATATAGTGAATGTCCAATCCTCTTCAGCTATTTATTTCTATAGATTTTGAATTAATCATTGAAGATACTGGCTCCGCCTCTGGTTGAGAAACGGAGGCAACGAATGACAGCTGCGCGACTAGAAGCACTTGACTCTGTCCACTCTGTCTAAGCATTAAAAATACTCTTCTCTATCAATAGTCTACTCTGTTCTTCCTAATCTCTATAGTTGTTTTATCGTTCTCTACTTTATGTTTTCTTTTGTATAATAATTTGGCCACTGTCTTAACTCCTAACTCATTCTCATTTTTTCATTGATTTTACATTATTGTATTTGAATAATTATTGTTGTTATTCCATATTATAATCAAGATTTTCTTGAATATGTAGGTGGAAATTTTGATAATGGGGGTCCACATACTTTGAAGATTGTATACAACTTTTTTTAAGTATCATTATTAATGACGTTGGACTAGTTGCAAGACCAGTTGGGAGAATCGAATTCCCTTATTTGGTTAAACCCTGATGAACCACCCACATTTGGTTTTTATTGTGTACTAACTAAATTAAGGCCTTCACAATCAATGGTCCACCTTCCTCATCATTAATTTTACCATGTTATTTGGTTCCCAGCATTTACTTTCATCCCGTTTAATTAATCCTACGTATTAATGATATTTACTACGACAAAAATATATGCAGATATATACATTGATAAAGAGTGAGAAAACTTTTATTAATTCACTTTGAATGTCATTTGGTGCGTGGACAATTTTGATTCTATATCTTGCTCTGATATACCATGTGAAATTAGGTCTTAGGCCTAACTCACGCCCCAAAAATTAGCTCAAAAGAAGAATGATTGTCCAAACCTTATAAGGAGTTCACTCATCTAGTTAATCACTGATATGAGACTTTTGTCTATTTTTAACAGCTTTAGAAACATATATAAAAAGTACTAATTGTCGCTAAAAGTACATATTTGATGTCTCACCATAGAGAAACTAGTAGTTTTCGTGCTTAGAGACCCTTAGTTATATAAGTTTAAAAAGTATTTGCATTATTTTAGTATAAATAAATAACTTAAATCCTATTTGGAGACATTTTGCCTCTTCTATATTGCTTTTTATGGTGCAGACAAGTCATTTCTTCACCGTATGATTGATCGGACTAGCTATCTTAGCTTTGTAGTATAATTTCATATATATATATATATAGAAATCGTACGTAAATATTCTGTCTGTGTGACAATGGTCCGATGTTTTCGTGACCACTTCAGGACTATGGTTCAATTTTATTAAAATAAATGTACACAAAATAAACAAAAAAAATGATCAATTTAATATAAAGTTCAATACCCTTATCAAAAAAGAATAGAGAATAATATTCCTACACATCACCCCACGTTCTCTTAACGATTCCAATATTCATAGTAAGCTGTTACATGGCCAACTGTCCTAACAGCCCAGAAAAAAAAAAACATGTCGTGAGACCAGCTAAGATCCCTTTGACCCTAGAAGCCTATTTTCTTCTTTTCTATCATCCGCTCGATCTGACTTAATTCAACATGAACTTAGATATGTCATTTTTTAATTTGTACTAAAGGTTATATAATAATAACTGAGATAAATAAATTAGAACAAAGAGAGTAATAATAACATTCTATTTTATGTGATTTCATTTGACCTGATATGATATTTAAAAGAAAAAATAAAACTTTTTAAATTTGTGATAGAGAATAATTTTTAAATATCACGTAATGATGAAACGGAAGGAGTATATAACTTGTTACCAAATGAGGGGCTGGCGATAAAACCGAAAGTATGTGGACTCAACTTTAAAAAGAAAAGTATAACAAAACCGTTAGTGTAATGATTAAAACAGTCAAAAGTTATATTAGTCAAACTAGTTTATAAAAAGTTAATCTTTATACCAGGCTAATCTTGATTTTGTTAATGTATTTAAATATTACTGGGATATGTTAATGGATGCCCATAATGTTCTCCACATCCTTTCTCTCTCTTACTTTATTTTATAACATATAATATATATGATATATAAATGCACACAGTGATATGGTGGATTCATCAAATACGAGTAGATGACTTTGAAGAATTCATCAACTGCATTGGAATTATATACTTTTTTCAATTTATTGCTGAATACTCTTGCAATTGTTCTTCTGTGGCGATTCTTTTTTTTCTCTTTTAAAAGACATTTGATTACATGGTTTACAATCCTATAATAACACACTTGTTCTGATATTATGCTTTTTTGATTATTATAATATTTATTCTGAATAGGCAGAGTTATTCGATATTAATTAGCTTAATTATTAGGACAATGAATCAAAGTATGCACTAATTGTTATAGTTCAAATTCCTAACACAAATTGTTCGCTTTGATTTTAAATAGGTACAAGATTTATCTTTTTTGCACTACGTTACACATTGATCTCAAAACAAACGTACCGTGCATATAAAACTTGAGTTATATCTTATAAATTTGTTCATATTTTTCTACTATTATAATGGAAGAATCATCTTAAAGTGTCATATGAATAGCATCCCTATAATCTTTTCCGTCTTAAAGTTTATCGGTTCTATTTGATGTGCCCTTAACAATTTATTTTCTTTTAAAGATTTCACATAAATTGATTTAAACACCATAATTATAAAAAAAAGTTATTTTGAAATAATCCATGAATATATATATATATATATAGAAAATAAGATGTAATTACCAACGGAGATATTTGTGGTGAAACGATTAGTCATTAATGAAATACTTTGCATTCAAGTCCTCCTAAGCACTTCGCCCTCCAATGTGAAGCTTATCGATACAAAATCAATTATAACTAAATTTTAATACAGATATTAAACACGACTCATGAGTTTCTCTGTTCCCGATAGAAGAGAAGGAAGTCATAATCGAAGGTTGTTGCCAGCGTTAGAGACGAGGAGACAGCTAAAGGGTCCTTCATAGTTTATGACAAGTGTACGAGTCCGTGAACTGGCAGTCCCTCCACGTGGGGTCCTGTCACCTATGAGCTGGATTTCATCTGCCTTTTTCCCCTTTTTACCCCTAATAACCCCTCTGTTTTTTTTTCCTCCAAAAATTTAATACCAATGTCTTCTTTCAAAAATAAAAAGGAATTACTCAACCAAATAGTGCAACAGATTAAAAAAGAACTCATATTAACATATTTGGTGTTTGTTATATTTAGGTATAATACATGAACTAATATTTAATTTGACGTCAGTTGATAATCATGATTCTTAGTTGACACTTAAACTTGTATAAAATTAAATAAAATGATACATTCATCATATATGAAAATTGTGTGTCCTGTATCATGACATGTCATTTCGAACGTGTGTGTCTACTTGTTTAATTCTATACAACTTTTCAAGTTAAGGTCATATTTATGTATTATTTATTATATTTACTACAGCAACGACATTATATATATTCGATAATGTTGATATGTAGCAAGAATTAATGAAAAATAGTGGAAAAGAGAGAAACTTGAAAAGTTGAGAACTTGAAGAATTGAGAACTTGAAAAGTCCTTTTATGCTTTAATGAAATGACATTTGTCTCTCGTTGGTGGTGGAAAGAAAAATAGGAGAGTTTAAAATAGAAACACTCTTATAAATTGTTAAAAGGGTTGGAAAGAGGGACCCCCCTCATGTCGTCGTCGCTTGCTCGGCTTCGACTTCGGCTATGGAAAATGATCGATCGAGAGATTATATTTTGGACAAAGTTTGTTTCAATTGTTTAATTAATTATCTATTTAATTAAATGGCCAAAATATTTTCAATTAATTAGTTGATAACAGAAACGTTTTTAGTTATTTAATCGAAATGTTTCAACTTTTTAGTTGATTAACCCAACCAGACTCAGATCCCGCGCGAGCCGTGATTTAAAACTTTCTCGTTTTATTTAAATTTTCCGCCATTAATGATCATGTGGATTCTGAAAAGATTGCACCCTTTCGAAACATGTTCCTCTTGCCTATAAATATCATTCACTCTTAAGAATTTTTCTTTACGAATTTTTCTGATCTCTTCTTATTCTTCTTCTACAAAAAAATTACTTCGTGTATTTTACTGTTGTTGAGTGGTTTGCTGACACCAGAGTTTTTGATATCTATACTCTGGTGATTGAGATCATTTTACCCTGGGAGGTCATATTCCAAATTAAACCTCGAATACTAGAGGGGAATAATTTCCTTAAGGGGACACTGTGAGTTCAGTAGACTTGATCTTTTTCTGTTCAAATTTTTCAGATTATGGTAGGTTATAGATTTTAGTTTTTCTAAATTAATTTTGTTCAGCTCTTGTAATGATTCAGTAAACTTTGGTTACTTCTGTTTCTGCAAAGTTTTATCAGAATCAATAATTTTATTTTTCAAACGCAGATTGGATACAGGTAAAATCTCATTAAATGAGTTTGAAGAGCATAGAATATACACAATACTTATCATTATTTTGTGAAGATAAAAATATTAGATCAAGTACATCAAACACAAGTAAAGAAAAAAGAAGGAAAAAAATGAAGAGAACATAAATGTTAATAAAAAAATTGTGAAGTCTTATAAGGCAAAAAATAATAATAACAATAATATAATGTGATAATCGAGACTTGTTAAATATATTATATGTCAACTTAATTTGATTGT